GACGAGGGTAGTGACGAGTGGGAGGGGGAGGGAGGCAGATGATGAGGAAAGGGTCAAGAGATAGCGGAAGGGTCGATAGAGAGAGAAGAGGAAGGAAAGGGGGACTGGGACGGGAGAGACAGGGAGGGAATTCGGAGAGGAGGGAACTTGCGATCTGGATCGGTCAAATGATTCAAGTGACGGCTGACTTTGATTGCAATCGACGATCGTTGCTAGACCATTCTTTTGTTCTCTTGTTTTTGCCCTTTCCGCCTCTCTGCGTCCTCCTCGTAAGCTGCGGTTGTTCCAGCATGAGTATGTGCAAAAAGTGCGCTTTTTTTTTGCTTCTAGGAACGGCAAGGATGGGAACCTCTTACATGAAATACAGTGTTATCGGCTGTTAGGCCCCAGGCGGGCTGGTTTACGCGCACATGTTTTCCCGCGTTTTTTTCTTTCGTCCTGTCGCGTGTGCGCGTCGCGATGACTGAATTTGACGGTGCCTCTGGAGTCAATCGAAGTTCTCATAATTACTATAGTAGTTTTATCAGACCACATGTCTGAGACCACATGTCTGAGGTAATTAATTGATCGTCGCGGGACACCGTCTTCAAAAATGCCTCTTGAATCTTCTGCGATTGCTCATCCTCTTACCTGAGAAATCATACGCGGGAAGTCAGGAGGCACCCGCGGACAATAACCATCCGGATCGCTATGCTACGCTCTGCATGATAGCCGTTGAGAATGGAGGCGTTTTCAGGCGCCTGCTAACTGATGCGCGCCTCTTGGCTACCCCAATAAGCCGAACTGTTGTTATGAGAACTTGTGGGGTCCAGAGTAGAGTAAAAATTGTTCGGCTCTGTTACTTTTGGGTGGCCGTAAGAAACTTTGTCGGAATGAAGAGTTTTGTTTTCGCCTTGAATCGAGACTCTCAGCATTGAAAACGAGAGCTTGAATGGCTGTTTCAACAGCCACCACAACTCAGGTTTTTTTTGGGGTCCGAAATTTTCCATAAACAAGGGGGGGAAAGAAACTCAGATCTCTTATCATCCCTTTACCTGGCTGTTAGCTGAATGGTACACACCTGTACGTCTCTGTCAGATACAGCAACCTTGTTCTGTGTCGCTTGTGTTGAAGGAATGTATGTGTCGAGTGTGATAAAACAGTTGGGAGAGTGAAAGGAAGATTAAACGAGGATAACGATACCATTGCGGAAATGAAAAAAAAAAACTAAAATAGACCAGCTCGATCCCTCACCAGGGCAGGATTTTGGGAGTCAAGGACGAGCAGCCGTACGTTAAACTTGAAGAAAGACATTTTGAGAGTGCTGATGGGAGAGCGAGGAAGAAATAGGAGGAGGGCGAGAGGAAGAGATCAGATGCGAGCGAGAGGAAGAGATAAGATGAGAGC